GGACGACGGAGGGGACGCTGACCCGAGCCGCCCGGCCCCGCTTGTCTGGCGCTGTCAGGGCAGAGGAGGGCGGGGGTCCGCGCGCCCGGGGGGGCCGTCGGGTCTAGGCTTCTCCGGGGGGGCGTCGGCAGAGCACGAGGATGGAGGGAGAGGGGAGCGAGGCGGCAGCAGCCGCGCTGGGAGATCTGGAGGGAAGGCGTTGCTGGTGGTCTCGGGGTGGGGGCTTGGGAAGGGGTCACAGCGGAGTTAGCAGGGGGTCGGCTGAGCGTCCTCGTTGTCCCCCTGCCTCAGAGCCACGCCGAAGGGTTCTGTGCCGGGAGGGGAGGCTGCACACACACCTCTGCATGCGCACCTCTGCTCAGCTCTGCCGTCCGTCGCTTTGTCACCCTGCTGTGCCCCTGCTGCTCCCCCTGATGTGCTGCAGGCCCCCTGGGGCGATAACACAACTCTTGTCTCCGCTGTCTCTAGCCTGCGAGCTCCTCCGACAGCGACGTTCCCGAGAACGACCCGATGGGGGGAAGCGATGCAGGTGACGATGAGGAGGATGATGATGGCTGCCGTCGCCGCAGAGAAAATGGAAAGCGATGAAGACTCGGATCGAGGCAGCGACCACAGCGGGCTCAAGCGAAAATCGCTGGCGATGAAAGTGAGTGTGGGCTGAGGCGGTTCCGTGCGGTGGGGACGGGAGGGTGTCCTGCGCACCTTGGGTCCGCCGCTGAGCTGCAGCTTTCATCCACCACGCAGCGTGTCGAACCCAGCGTGGCAGGAGGTGGTGAAGAAACCAACTCCTCCTGGATTCTCTGGTGGGAAGTGGGGTTCGGTGCGTGTCTGGGGGTCTCGCAGTTGGTGGGATGGCCCAGCCCAGGTGTGGTTTGCAGCCCGGAGGAGAAACCAGAGCTGCGGATCTCTGCCGAGTGCACGTGGCTGCTCTTGCAGGGCCAGCTGGGAAGAGCTGGGCAAAGCCCTTTCCCAGCAAGCGCTGGGTTTCTGCTGTGGGTCGAGGCGGAGCGGGGTGCTCTCACGTCGTCAATTCTCGGTTATCAGATGCCGGTGGCAAAACGTCTTCGGAAATCCTCCAGTGACTTGGATCAGGGCAGCCCCTCCCTGACAGAAGAGGAGAACTCGGAAACGTCTTCTGAGTCGGAAAAAAACAGTGACCAGGTGAGAAGGGTTTGGGATGCGCTTGTATGGAGGCTGGCAGGGTGGTGGGGAAAGGGCTGTAGGAAAAGGGTCACTGTCTGGGGGGGCAATGGCTTGGGGAGCCTGACTGGATTCTGAAACCATCGTGAGACTGTTCCTCGTTTCTTCTTTTCCTCCAGGACTTCACTCATGAGAAGA